AGAAATAAATGGCCTTTTTAGAAAGTGAACCATGGATAAGAAAATGTTGGCAGTTTTCTCAAAAAATGCTCGAATTCAAGAAGTTTTTGAGTTGCAAAATACACTTGAACATGACGCTGCTTTTTTCGAAGTTTCTCAAGAACCAATCGAGCCAGAGAATTCGTTTTGGCATCGTTGGATAGAGAATTGAATGGGGGGGTCATGACCCCCATGACCCCCCCTAAATCCGCCCTTGTAAGTAACGTTCCCGATGAGAGATTCCCGGAAGAGTCCCTAATATTCCCGTTCCTACACCACTGTCCATGGGTTATTTACCCTATGCCAGGAATAGACTGATTTCCCGTGCGCGCTCAGATGGATTGCGCCTCGCTTTTTCGTGTTTCAGTCCGCAATATGGCTGGTTAGGTACTGGTTGGCGACGATCGTCGGTCGAAATTGGTAAGAACCACGTGCTAGTGAGACAGTGCATTGGGAGGTTGGAACGGCATAGGTAAGTGGTTTTATCGCCAACTTTTCGCTGGCTTTACAAGGCATAGTTATTGGCATTCTTCCTTGGGTGTCTTTGGCTGAAAGCTGGCACTTGTCCGGCCAGAGGCGCGGTTTTTCTAAGATGCGCCAAAGGGCTTTATTCGCTTTCGGTGCATAGACGTTATTCTTGCTTGATGGCCTTTCCATTCATAACGAGCCGATCTGCGGAATGGGGCCAGATTTGCACGTGCTTTGCCTGCATTTGCATTTTAAATGCAAATTGCTGCTCATTATCTTTATTACCGATGTTCTAGTTGGTCAAGTCGGTTGCAACAACACGGAAAAATACCTTCTCAATTACCAGATTTAGTTAAATCAGTGGATTTATTATGCCTTATTTGCATTCTGCTTGTTTGGAGAATAAAATCCCATTCAACTGCGTTTAAAATTGTCATTTTTCAATGATGGAATGGAATTTGGCTGTTCAAATCGCTCACCCGTTTTCCCGTGGTGTCCAACCATTGCTTGACTACACCAAAAGCACTTTAATGTGATTTAAGCTCGGAAATTAAATAAGTAAGAACCATCTAAATGGAGTAGGTCGAATTCTTGACACCTGCTGTCAGAGTATTGTTCATTTTTTTCTGAAATTGACGTAATCGCTCAGTGTCTGCTTCACCGTTTACCCGTATGTATAACGGAGATGGCTGAAATAATTTGGGTGGAGTTGGACGTGCTCCCGACTTTCTCCGTCAGTTTTAGACAAGTGGCTCTGTTAAAAAGTGAAGAATTTTTATCTTGAAAAACCAGCTAACTAAGCTTGGAAATTTTCTTCAAATTTCTAACTGGTTGGTTGAGGTTTTTGGCACCTTTCGGGAAATTATTTGCAAAAAAGACGCAAAAAACTGGCTTTCACACCCCAAATCCCTAGACCTTGATCTTGAAATTTCCAAGCTCATAAACTTGCGGTGATGCAGACTAATACTTGAGGAATTTTCAATATAATATCGCTATTTCCTCTAAGATTCAGGAGGGTGGCGAAAGCCTTGACAAGCTAAAGTTATCGAAATAGTGAAACGAATCAGTTACATACAAACCTGTAAGAAATCGTGTTATTTGGAGCGATTGCTAGCGAAATTCGACGTTTTTACCATGCTTGAGCAACTGAAGTCTTTGGGGGGTTTTATTCTGCTGATCAGTCCTAACGAATGGAAGAATTTCGGGTTATTGAGCCGTTCAGAGGGGGTCGCCCAAAGCAAACACGCTCTGAATAAGGAATTTTAAAAAAACATTTAAAAGAGCAATTCAGCATTCCAGAGAGGAAGCTTCAGTTTAATCGTGGCGTGCATTTGGTTTTATTCCAGCAAGTCGTTTCTTCATAATTAATTGTTGAAGTTTGCCATTTTTAAGCGCGGTGTTTCGTTTTTGCACCATGCTCTTCTGAAGTACATTTCTAACGACCTATTTATGGTGCCGCAACGTGGCCATTATCAGTCGATAGGGGAAACTTCTGTTTACTCGTGGTGTGCATTTGGTTCAATTGGAGCAAGTGGATCCTTCAGAAATAATTGTGGAAGTTTGCATTTTTTTGCGCGGTGTTTTGCATTTGCGCCATGCTCTTCTGGAGTCCCTTTCTAAGGTACCGTTTAAAGCACCGAAATGCTGACTTCAGCAGTCCAGAGAGGAAGCTTCAGTTTAATCGTGTTGTGAATTTGGTTCCATTCGAGCAAGTGGTTTCTTCGTAATTAATTGTTGAATTTTGCCATTTTTAGACGCGGTGTTTCGTTATTGCACCATGCACTTCTGAAGTACATTTCGAAGGATCTATTTGTGGTACTGCAATGTGGCTATTAGCAGTCGATAGAAAAAACTTCAGTTCACTAATGGTGTTAATTTGGTTCCATTCGAGCAAGTGAATCCTTCAGAATTAATTGTGAAAGTTTGCAGTTTTTTGCGCGGTGTTTTGCATTTGCGCCATGCTCTTCTGGAGCCCCTTTCTAAGGAACCATTTAAGGCACCGAAATGCGGCCTTCAGCATTCCAGAGACGAAACTTCAGGTTACTTGTGGTGTGCATTTGGTTCCATTCGAGCAAGTGGTTTCTTCATAATTAATTGTTGAAGTTTGCCATGTTTAGGCGCGGTGTTTCGTTTTTGCACCATGCAAATTTCCAATTGAACTGGAATCTTCACTTGTCTCTAATACTATTCATTCAACCTTGGCGTACAATTATTTTTCCAGACTTTGCCTCATTTGAATCCGCTATTTTATGCAGTGAAGGTATCAAGTTGGAACGTAGCAACGCATACGAATCTTGCCTCGGCCATAGACTCCAATGTGTGAGAGTGAGACAGAACGATGCCGGCCACGTTCCCGGATTGGGAAAATTAGTTTAGTTTTTTCCTCCAAACCGAACACGCGTCTGAGGATGCCTCTAATATGTACCAGAAAAACGTCAGCACTAAATTCCTATAGTCGACGGCCTAAATAGCCCGAAAATGGACTTGAAAAACAACCTTTTTAAGACACTATTGTATGCGGCTTGTTACGCATACAAAGCTAATTGACGATCCCATGTCTAATTTTAACAAATTAGCGGTGGAAGGTGAGTGGGAGTTCGTTTTGTTCGACTGATTCGGTTTCGCATTGAAATCTCTATTTTATCTCCCGAAAGGCAGCAAAATTCATACGCTACTCATCAACTCCATAAGTTATTTATCGCGGCGTCCCAATGACCTAAATCGACGAAATAATCAATCAATATTGCCGTTATATTGGTAGAAACATGCAGCCGGAATTTCTCCTATCGTTAAGGTTTTTCTGGCTGTTTGCTAGAAGTCTGATGTTGAAAAGCAAGCCTCTCTATGGTAAAAGTCCCCACAATGTCACGCCTGTTGGGCTCTCGATTGTTTGAAAGTTGAAACCTATAAAGCTTAAAGAAACGCTCTTTTAAAGATCATTGAACTGGACAAAGCCTATTTTGTTGCGA